GCCCTAGGAAAGCCAGAAGTGCAAAGAGGATCAGTCATATTTCCGTGTTCAAGTAAGTTCGGATGTAAAGAAGATTGGCTATCAGAAGAAAAGGATATAGAGGGTTTTTGACCAAGAAGAGAATTGTCTGAGTCATGTAAGGTGAGCTCTAGGCAGTAATTAGGCATTGCTGTATGAGCTGTCATACCTATATTGGGGGGGGGAAACCTGTGGAGAGTGGTGAGTATTTGTAGTATGTTTGAGGTCATGTTGTGAACCTGAATGAAAAATGGTAATGTCGTTTCAGCGAAATTGCTGATCGTCGGATGGTCAGTCCCGTTGAGTATGGGCATGTAAATAGGTGGGGGTGGCCTACCAAGCAAGCTAAACTGACTCGAATTTTTGCGATTTACTTCACCACTATTCGACGTCCTATAGTTAAGTGTATCAATCTTTCGGTTTAAAGTGGTGGGAGGGTTTACTTTTTTGGACAAATAGCTACGAGGTTCGGGCTGCGTTTTACGGTTTTTATCCATTTCGGCTTTGTGAATATTTGTTTCTGGAGAGAGGTGTGTTATCAAACTGTGAGTATCTGAATTAGTGTGTGGCAACAGTCTCTTATTATGCACTGTCTTTGTGGACGAACTGGTAGCCCCACTTTTCAACTTGCTGGAATTGAGACTGCTTGGATTGGGGAATACTGGGTGTGATGTACCGCAGTTTGTCACCGGGGTACAGGGATCGTTATTAGAGGAGTCTAGATCTACGGTGGATTTCCTTCTTAGTCTACGGTTATACACCGAGCCATTTTCGGACCTTATATTTTCACGCAAGTTCGTTTCCGAATGCGATGTGCTTTGTACAGAAAGGTTCACACCCCCTTCGCTCTGCTTCAACGGAATTGTGGGTGCTCAGTGGTGTTGCAGAGGAGCTGGGATTCACGGTTTTAGAATCGGTCATATAAGTCATTCTTTGGATCAGCGTTCTGTCACGAGCTAACTTAATCGTGTGGTAACGCCTAATTTTTAGTAGTGTTTGCCTACTGTAAAAGATGTCAGCATTAGAGGACGAGTCAAATTTCAACACAAGTGGGCAAGATTTATTTTTCTGAGACTTTCTTAGTCGATGGTAGCTGCATGGGACGTTATTCAAAGAGCATGCATTCAAAAGAGTGCTTTGGACCCTACTGATCTGTGCATTATCCGGTATATTATACACAATTATGTTTTTTTCGCGCACTACACGTTGATATACTTCAGTTGCAACGTAGTTTATCAGGTTTGCGGTTTGTGGTAACTTTCTAGGTGAAGTACTACTACTGCCGGTTTCATTAGGCAGTGCCAGTTTTGAGATCTTAACTTCAAGCCCCCTAATTGTAGGAAATAGTTCTTCTATTTTATCTTCACAACTAAGTGTAGAACAAAAAACTGGATTAGTGATGGGGGTAAGAATGTTTGCCGTGCGATTCTTATCGCAAGACGCTTTGCAGGTGTCTACGAGGCCTAGATCATTACACGTAGTATCACTGTGTATACCATCCATGATGTTGTTTACTACGCAAGCAAGTGAGGGGAGTTTAATGTCCGGACTTGACCTGTCTACCGCAGCAGACCTATATTTAGTTGTTAAATCAGCAGATGTGGTGCTCTCACTTCCTACAGGCCTACTTATTCTGTTTGGTTTGATTTTTTTACTGGGATGTGAAGCAGACAGTGGAGTTAGACGCTTAGTTTGGACCATTGGCATTTAGTACAAAGTTAAAATTCTAAATTAAAGAGAATGAGCAATGTGTCTTTAAGGTCCGTTTTAGAGTGTTGGGGATTTAAACTGTCTAGTTCTGTATGCAATTAACAGTTTATACGAATAAAAATATCGAGATAAAATATTAAGATACCCTATACAAATACTGTAAATGCGAAGATACTATAAAAGTAGCACTTAGATGGACACTATCTATAACGGATAATTTTAAACGTAAAAGTTATATTCTATGAAAGAATAGGACCAAATACTTAATACTATCGTCAAGAGACCTCTTAAAAAGTCGCCTATGGAGTTAGAAAAAGAATTGAGAAATAACACGCGAAAAAGTAACAAAGCCTATGAATCGCGCGTCAATCTCGTCTGTTTTATGTCCATCAGGCGAAATCCATGTTGCTTTGTGCTTATCATTAGACTTAATACTCTGAAGAGATTCCGTTTTATGCATCATTACCTCTTTCTCTCTGATTATATACGATACTCACTTCTTTCTGAGACTTATTCACAAAGATGAATCAGACTATAATAATTGGGCAATTATCATACCGCCGTTAATTTTAGTAGTTACTGGAATTTAGTAATTTCTAGAGGAGAATATAGTAGCTTTAGATCCTAGTATAAAGGTTATTTAAAATATCCAGCTTGCAAATACTGTTGAAGCTGCCTTCAGTGGAAACACGATAGTCACTCGAGTTGTTAGAATTAAGTAGGTCAGTTTTCAATGATTGTTTAAGAAAAGTTTTCAGCACTTATAAAGGTTTCAGTAAATACTAAACCCATTTAGGACAGTGTTCTCCTTTAAGTATGTTGAACAATTTCATAAAACGAGGATCGATCACCAGGCGATCTCAGACACTGTTCCTTTAGCCTCACCAAAAGCTAGGAAGCAACGATCATGGCTGAAAAGAGGGACACAACGCCTTCTGCAGGCAAAGCGTAAAGCCTGGTTCGCGTGGCGACGATCGAAGAGTCAACCCGAATATGAAGTGTACCTTGAACTCAGGAATCGATGTAACATACGAGTCCGGAGCGATAGAAGGACATTTCAGGGAGACCTCGCCAATAAGCTTCTAGTGAACCCCAAAAGCCTATACAGGTTTATGGCCGAAAGAAAACCGACCAACCAGGGAGCATGCAATCTAGTGGGTTCTGATGGGAAATCTCTTACTAGTCTTGAAATGGCAGAGACATTCAGCCTAGCCTTTCACAGGCAACTAAATAGTAACGAGGATATTACCCCTACAGAACATCCAGATTACATCGCAGAACCAACACACGAAAACCTGCTGGGGACATTTCAAATTACCCCGGCTATGGTACTTGCAAAATTGGGACGGTTGGCTTCGGGAAAGTCTCCAGGTTGTGATGGCATCAGACCATCTGTCCTGAAGCAGTGTTCAGAAAGTCTCTGTCAACCCCTAAGTGATCTGTTTCAACACTCCCTTGATGTAGGGAAACTTCCATGTGAATGGAAACGTGCAATCCTATCCCCTATCTTCAAGGGTGGTGACCGGCAGAATGTGACCAGTTACAGACCAGTTGCTCTACTTCCAGTGGTATCGAAGATATTGGAAAGTCTCATTGACGACCACATGAGAAAATACTTCGATGGGACTAACCTTCTTCACGAAGCACAGCACGGTTTCAGGAGGGGAAGATCCTGCGTGACGAATCTTCTACTAGCCTGGAACGATTGGACACTAACCTGGGACAAAAAGGTACCAGCCCACGTGATCTTTCTCGACTTTGCGAAAGCATTCGACACAGTTCACCATGGTCTGCTCCTTCACAAAATAGGCAAGGCGGGAGTTTCTGGAGCACTTCTCGCATGGCTGACAGATTACTTAGGCGAGAGAGAATTCTGCACCAAAGTCAACCGCATCCGATCATCTTGGCACACCTCGGCATCAGGGGTTCCTCAGGGTTCTATCCTAGGGCCGTTGATGTTTTTGATTTTTATCAATGACCTGCCCCCCCAACTAAACTGCTCTGCGCTTCTTTACGCTGACGACGTAAAGATTTGGAGAGCAATAAACTCATCGGAAGACTCAGATAGATTGCAGGCTGACCTGCAAACTCTGGGAAATTGGGCTTTGGCTAACGGAATGCCTTTCAATCTAAAGAAGTGCAAAGTAGTGCAGCTTCATTCCGGCAGGTCACAGAGTGTAAATTACACCCTTGGTGGCCAGAACTTGAGTTGTGTTCCATCAGAGCGTGATCTAGGTCTTATTCTAACAGAAAAGCTAGACACCAGTGGAAATTACTCGAGGGACGTCGCCAAAGCCTACGCAACATTACACTTTATGCACAGGCAGCTGGGAGCTCTCACTCCCGAACTGTTCTTAAGGCTATACAAGGCATATGTGAGGCCACACCTTGAGGTGCATAATATCATTGCACCTCCGCTACTCAAAAGGGATGCTAACATTCTAGAAAGTGTCCAGAGACGAGCGACAAAATGGGTGATCGGCCTCCGCAACAAATCATATGAGGAAAGACTAAAGAAATTAGGTCTTTTCACACTCAGTTACCGTAGGCACAGGGGAGACCTCATCACCGTCTACAAGATCCTAAATGACCAGGCCCACCCAAATAAAAGCATCCTGCCATTAAGCGATTATAGGCTTCCACGAGGTAACCCGCTAAGGATAGCACACCAGAGACCAAAGACTCGAGTGCGATCACATTTCTTTTCGCTTCGTGTTTGCCGTCTCTGGAACGCTTTACCGGCGGCCGTGACTACAGCGCCATCTGTGGAGATTTTTAAGCGGAAGCTAGACAATCATGCAGAAATGCAAGGTTTGTGTCTCAATGGCTTATCCTCATAAAATTTGAAACCAAACTGTCAATGAATAAGCGTACTAACTAAATCCCCACGACCTATTCTGCCTTCTCTCACTCTGTCTTTTCCTTATGTCACCTTTATTATTCCACTTATCTCAACCTATATTATCTACACTACAACCTATTATTATTATTATTACTATTCTGCTTTTATGACTACACCGAATGACCAAGGGGAGTTAGGTCAAACTCCATTCACGGCAGCAATACAGTCCTAACATACTGCATACTACAAACCACATCTCGACCAATTCCCGCACCACTCCTCCTGGAGTCTACCAGAGCTAAAGCAGTCGAGTGTCGGGACTTACTACGCAGAAGCTCACCGAAGATCTGGAACCTCTACCTCACAATCAAGAAGCGAGCTCAAAGAAATCACTGGTTTATACTAGCTCGTCATCAGGATATTGGATATTGGATATTGGATCGATTGGGACATAGGTCGACAAATGACCTTGATGAGACCTTCAAGTTGGAATGAAAGACAGTGAGGGAGGGTTCTGCTTTCGAACACCTCTCCCAGTATCTGGATCACAGGACGGAACATCGTTTTGTTCTGAAGCAAAACGACCTAGATTGTGGTAAAGCTAACTAGATAATCTTGCTAAACATACTTTAGTCATACACCATCACGTGTTTCAAGTGTTTACAATCGTATTTTCGATCGAAAAATTAGCAGCGCAAATAAAGATAACGAAAGTCATTCAGCGTCGAACGGGTCTTTCTTTGGAAGCCTGGTAGGTTGTTTTACTATAGCCTACATTTTAGTGTGGGGTACTGTTTACTTATAAGGTGAATTGACTTAGTCATGTGGGCTCCACGTACATGTATTTTATGTTTTCATAATTCATTTATTGTCCACACCGTTTAAGAGTGAGGTATATTCAGGGCTTCGATAGGTTTTTTGTCGCAGTTAAATTTCACGTGGTATAAATGAAGAGTAGTTGCTATCTATGCACGCATGTGTGCAAAGCACTCATCTTATTGCTGATATGATTTGATGAAATCATTCGGAAGCCAGTCTGGATTTCTTTGAAACTACTGATTACTAAATCCATACTGTATGTTAATGTTCCTGTCTGGGGACTTCTAATCAAGTGGCTTATTTAGCTGCAGTACTGTAATCACCTACAACAGTAATACTTATAACCGTTGCAGGTGTATCTGTTAAAATAAAGTATGTACAAGGAAAATTGGCTACCAGCCTTTGCATTTCTGGAGAAAGTTGTGTATCATGTGTTAACTGTCTTAATTGAATGCCCCCTTCACCCCTAGCGTCTTGTATACTTTTATGTCACTGACACATCGATTTATTTAGTTGTTCGAAAGTATTGTTTCACTGCTTTTTCAGTCGTCCGGTAGTCTTGAACCTCAAGTTGACAGATTTCATACCTACTTAAAAGTAGCCAGTCAAGGAATTTCGGCCCAGGTGGATGTCCTTTTTCTTGTCGGCTGTAGAGTGGCTAATAGTTTCTTCTCAGGCTTTCCTAAATACCTTTCTTTTCCAAAACTCAGTATTTCCAGACTTATTGTGATTACGGCTTGAAGGCACCTCGTAATGCCATTCACTTTTCTAGCTTTGTCTCTGAGTTCTCGTGGTTTCGGTATATCACTGTCATTGAATAAATAACAATACACTTGTTGTGGTGATACTGGCAACAGTAAAAGGCACAGATACCAAAGTCGAATGAACTTGAATCAAATAATCAGATCACTAAACATTATAAATGGGTTCTTTTCGTAATCTTTGTTGCAATTTTCATCCTAAATCTAATCTTTGTTGCAAGATTTACCTGGCCTTAATCATAACCTTACCTTAATCCCTACCCTAACCTTAACACTGAATCAGGGTTAAACGTGCAGCGAAAATTACGAAAAGCATCCATCCATTTCCAAAGCACGGAGACAGAGGGTTAGTTTCGCATATGCCAGTTTACGCCGTCTGTGGCGTAGACGTGATATCCAACTATCGACCAAAGGGCGGGTGTGCTACTCATCAGTCCGCTCCATCCTCCTTTATGGCTGTGAGCGAGACGTGGCCATTGCGAGTGGAAGACATGAAAAGATTAGCTGTCTTTGATCGTAGGTGCCTGCGTTCTATCTCCCGTGTGAAGTGGTATAATAAGGTGAGCAATATTGAGGTTAAGCGTCGAGTTCTAGGTAAGGAGGGGAAATCAATCGACGAGGTTGTGAAATTACATCGACTGAGATGGTTAGGACATGTGTTACGTATGTCTAGTCATCGCCTTCCTCGACGAGGAATGTTAGCTGATATAGGGTCGGGCTGGTAAAGAGCTAGCGGCGGTCAAACAAAAACAAGACACCAGTCAATGAAATCCGCAACAGTTAGTCTAAGCCACGTAGGAAGGTGTAGACTTCCTGACTGGTTGGGGTCGTCGGGACGGTAAAAACCAATGGTTGGAAACAGTTGGTGACATGGCTCAATGTCGTTCTCAATGGTTGGCTCAGATGCATCCACTCCTTGTGACTTATGATTTCCAATGAAACTTTTGTTCTTCGTTATTACTTTTCCTTTGTCTCACACCTCTGCTTACTGTCTCTATTATGCATTTCTTGTACTTTTTTCTCTTGCTTTGTGTGGTACATGGAGGGAGTGTGGCGACTTGAACTTCCGCACATCTGTGCAAAGTTCTATGTCGAAAACAGACAGACAGATCCATTTGTAATGGTGAGCGATCTGATTGCTTGGTTCAGGGTTATTCGACTTCAGTATCTATTCTTTACTCTTGCCATGATATACTAAATTAGTACTTGTGTTTCTTGATGATTGCTGACTACATGTCACTTATCGGGTGAATCAAGTAGGATAATATCAGGCTACTGAAGGCAGCATTTACCTAGGTATGCAGAATATTTTCCTTGAATTTACAGTATTTCCGACGTTTTTGTTTCCATTTTTCAGACAAGTATCACTCTCAAAATTATGTAGGTTGTTAATTCGAGGACAGACTTTCTTCTTTCTCGTTCCAACGATGATAACACACGACAAGGTTCTTGGAACTCTTTCAGCAAAAGTTCACCATGCTTTGCATGTGTCCCGATAGATAGCAGTGTCCCTTAATGTGCGGATGGATAGTGAACTGTCGCAAACTCTGCCTGTCCGGGTAAAAACGTAACCTCAGCATACACACATAAAAGGGCTTCTTGACAGTTACCAATTTGTGCCTCATTTGGATTCTGTGAGACACTCAGCTACCTATTTGAGGATGTGCTTTTCAAAAGTCCAGTCTCTCACATTTCATGTCTGAAGCGCTTTTGAAAGTTGGAAGAAATAAAATAAGGTTACAAATCCCTGACCATAAATATTTTCCTATCTTGTAGTGAAACCGCTGAATGAGTAGTGTTAAATTCGTATAATATTAAAATGCAGGTTATCTGACTGGGGGTAGGATATCTTGGCCTCTAATTTACTTGGTTGGCGGTGTGGGGGAATACATGTTCTGACCTTTTGCTACCGCAATCAGAAAAAAAAGTGAAAAAAGCTGATTTACTAGGAAGTTGAAAATAGTTTTAATTTACGAATTTTCTGACTATTAGTGTGTCATTAGGTGGAGGGGATTGAAAATTACCGGTGTAGACTTATCCAATTCTTGTCATAGAAATTCTGTACGCCGCTGAACTTCATTTAGTCTCTCTCTTCGAGGTCATATTAATCTATTATTATATTTTTGCGTCTTATCTCCTTCTGGGTTTGGTGATATCATATCTGAAAAATTGAAGCGATGCACAGGGTTTACTGTTGGATTCCTCCAATTGCTAGGAATTAATAGTTAGTGTTGGAGCTCTAAATCTATAGCACTAGCACCATCATATTTACTCAGTTATATCCCTCTTGTTTTAACATTCCTCAGTTTATTTTACTTTTATTTGACATCATTTCTACGTCTGATTTACTTCTTTCCGAGCTTCTGCGTTTGCACTGTTTGTTTAACCGTCGAAACGGTCGTTTAGTCTTACTGTCTATCGTAGTATTTTACTTTGGCCTTGTTCCTGTTTGTTTGTTTGTTCAGTGTTTATCTTATTCTTTTTTATGTTAGGGAACAACCATGTGTGTAGGTTGCTTATCGCGTGGATAAATGTCTCCCTCGTTATACAGCTTTAATGATATTACAATAATTGCCTTTTGCCTTATAGTTACCGTTTGCCGGTTTTAAATCGCCAATTCATTCTGGTGATGTTTGTCACTACTTTCTTCAAAGTTTACTACCAAACAATCGTACACAAGCTTTGAAAATGAAACAGTCAGCCGTGTTCAGTTCAACTCCGTTAAATGGAAATGTAAAGCCTTTAAAAAATGGTCACATTCCTTCACAAAGGCTAATGTATCAACGACTGTTAGATAAAGCAGCATTTCCACGGACTCCGTGTGTTAAACGGTCAAGCAGTCTCAGAGAAATAATCACTATAGATTTAGACGATGAGAATAAAAGTCAGCGTTTTTCGCTATTACGAAGGTGAGTGATTGTGATGTCTGTTTATTGTTCATTTCTTTCTTTCTCGATGGAGAATTGCAAATTACTTCGTCGTAATTAGCGTTAAAAATGCGCTTTCTTTTTTTATTCCCTACTGATGATTGCTTTGGTTCACGGTGCTTACACATGATTTGTACTCAGTTTAGTGAAATCTTTACCTACCAAGGTAGTTTGGTAAATTCATATACACGCTAATAAGTTGTCAGTGTCTTCTCACTGGTAAAATTCACTGGCGATTTCAGTTTTAACTGATCAAAAATCCCCATTAAAATTTATAAAAGAATGGATACTGAAAAAAGAGTACTCTTTTCGATAACCTCTTATTCATCAAGCTCTACAGATATATATACACTATAGTGAATGAATGAATTAGCGTTATGAACAACATTAATCTTGCTGTTTAAATAACATCGAATCAATAATATTGATAGATTACAGCTCAATAGCATCAACATAACAATTAACTGAGTGTCAGAAAAATTAGGATAGATAATATTACAAATTCATGAATTTATAGTCTCTACTGAAGGCCGACCAGGGCAGTAGTAGTGACTGACTGGACTTGTTTCTTTTGCACACAGAGCACTAGTTGTCTGAGGCGAATTGCAATGGCCTTTGCTGTTTTGAGCATGCAGTGCTTCGATGTATTTGGCAATTTATTTGGCACTCGGTATAATGTAGAGAAGGATTCTTCCACGCTGGCTTTGTGGCCGGCCTGTTTGCACCAGATGTTCCAATATCGAGCTGTTAATAGTTTTCACTACACCTTTACTTAGCCATGCTGGGAGATGTTCTCGAGCACGAAAAATCAAGTTCCTAGAGCAACGGCCAATATAACTGTCTCCACAAGCGCAGCTGAACTGATAGATACAATTTGAAGTGGCTAGCCTAGGTACTTCATCTCTCAATCGAGGAATCACCGTTGGTAGTGTAGAGAATAAGACGTGTAGTTCGCCAGCATTAAAAGTTGTTTGAACTAAGTTTCTTAACTTCTTCATAGTTATTTCATGACGTATATAGTCCTTGAATCGCAGTCGTATTTAAAAAGGCTTCTTGTCTACGGATAGTGAGTAGTCCTTTTCCGATTTCTTTGTCATGTGTTTCTTGATAAATTTGTCGGCATATCTATTTTCGATCAAAGTATCATCTACCGGGTACCTAATAAATCGCCAAAAACATCGAAGCACCGCATGCTGCAAACAGCAGAGGCTATTGCAATTCTCCTCAGACAACCAGTGCTCTGTGTGCAAAAGAAACAAATCCAGCCAGCCACTACTACTGCCCTGGTCGGCCTTCAGTAGAGACTATAAATTCATGAATTTGTAATATTATCTATCCTAATTTTTCTGACACTCAGTTAATTGTTATGTTGATGCTATTGAGCTGTAATCTATCAATGTGATTAGTGATTTGATGTTATTTAAACAGCATTAATGTTGTTGTTCATCACACTAATTCATTCATTTACTATAATGTTTGGATAACTGTAAAACCTGATGATGAAGAGCAAGTTATCGAGAAGAGTATTCATAGTTCAGTATCCATTCTTCTTCTTTAGATTTCAGTTTTTAAAATCAGATCTGTGACATATATCAGTGGATATACTTGAATATTTGAATTTGACGGCTATCGGCAGATGACCGGTGGACGAACGTAGAACTTAGTACAAAAGTGCATTGAGTGATGGTGGACATTCCTCATGGACGCCACTGGCTGTAATCCCTTTACATGACAACTCTCCACTATATTTTAAATAACTGCATGAGCTCGAGTAGAGTAGTAGTACAGTACTTCCTCAGTCCGCTTGCACACAACCACATATTGACATAACACCTCGGGATTGGCGATATTGAGTGGCACCTTCAAGTCATAAAACACGGCAGGTATTTATCAGAACAAAATTTATAAGAGTTGATCACCGTTTTCAGTTCTTCGGTATCTAACTTCGAGGATATCCTCAATGTAACATACCGTACCTGTGTTATTACTGGTCGTGGCACGAGATAAAGCTTGAGAAAACAGTTGGAAAATAAGGAGAGCGGTACACGATGACCAGAGAAAATTATGTGTAGATAAAAGCTTATTTCTGGTCACCTAGAATAGAATTTGGTCTCGTAGAATATTTGAAAGAGAATAAAGTTCGGTTAAGGATGACTGAGAAGCCGAGAAGACAACTGTTTGAGACAGATCATGGCATGTTTGGAGTTGGTGGAGTTTCGTCCTTACTACTAGATACAAACCTGTAGGGCTTTCGGGACCAGCCTTCTCTAATTGGTTGACTTCTTGCCCCTATCCACCAGCAGTACTTACTTCTCTCTCAGAACCTTCATCCCATTGTAAACAACTAACTCTGGGATGATAGTCAAACCACAATCCAACAGCTTTTATCCCAGCCGAGATAGATGGGTAAAGCCACTACAAGATACAATCCCTTTCTCCATGTATGGTTAGCAGCTATCAGTCGTTTATAAAGTAGGTAAGTTCTGAAAAAGCATCTATTAATGCTCACATGGTTTCGGAGAAGACCCGTTTATCAGCCTGTCGAAATGGAGGGCGATTGAAGTTATTTAAAAACTTTGCACCCTTATGTATCAGTGACCTTTAGACGATAAAATGGAAATATCTTCAACACTGAAACTGAAGTAGTTTTGATGGTTTTATTTGTAACAGCACATTTAAGCGAACAGTATTGTGGTTTTAATTAGATCTCATCAGGCTTAACTCTAATATATATAAGTTTACAAGTAAAAACTCAAATATAAGCCAATCATGGTGTTTTATCTATAGGTTTACAAGATTGTGCATATAAATTGTGCAATTAGTCATAATACTGGTAATGATAACAATAACAATAATGGTTCTATCAATAATAAGGATGAAAAAGTGATAACAAGAATGACGAAAAGCAGCATGATTAAAGAAAAAAATATACAGTTAGGAGTAGTGGTCGATAAAGGCTAAGAAAAACTACTGAATCGATTACGTAATGCTAGATTGTAAGGAAAGTAAATGAAATACCTTTTTAATGAAGATGTGATAAGATTAAGGGATGATAAGAGAGGGGTTGGAAATATAAGTAAGGGGTGGTGGAGAATTCATCAGTTGGTTAAGTCTTAATAGGCCAACAGGGGAGGGATAATGGCTGTACGAACTTCTTTTGAATGCATAGTTTATTAGTTCGAATGCCTATCGCCTCGTCTGTTCAGTAGACGAATATGAAGTCTATTGAAAAGATTCAGTGGGGTACGATGAATTACTTTGAAGGCTCTCGTTTTCTCGACTACATGACCATTATCAATTGAATGTGACAAAATTGAGCTACTGATTGTTTTTGTCTGTCCTTTGCCAAGCCACGATGGAAGATGTTCACTAACACGTTGGCTAAGCTGTGTAGTAGTAGTGTGCCCAACATAACTGTCACCGCAGGTGCAGTTGAATTGATAAATACACATAGATGTGGCAAAACTATCAAGCTTATCCTTCGTTTGCGTCCCAGTCATTCGTCGGCTAGAGAATGACAAACATAGGTGTGCTGCGTAAAATGTTCTTCGTATACTCCTTGAAAGTCTTTGGAATAGAATCTCACTAGATAAGTCACCATTAAATTCTAACTTGATAAACAGAGGTTTCTTACGTGCAATCAAAGTCTCAGGTTTTTTCTCTGATGTTTTCATGTATTTCTTTATGAAGCTACTCGGACAGCCTATCTCCGTCAATGAATCGTAGGAATATTCAAATTCCTTTTGTAAGAAGTCATCCGTGGCTGGTTTTCTCATGGTTCTCTAACTGATGTCAATCAGTTCATGATGAAATCCCCCCACCAAATAAAACTGTTATTATTATTAAGTCTGTCAAAGACCTTATTATTGCTTTTCAAGTTATATCGACTTATTGATTTACTTCAATTTATGCGTAGTTATTATCCCCTGTAAAAATGTCTAACCTAAGCTTGACTATACATAACACATGTAGAAGGGTACGATTCATTTGTCTAGAGAAATAATTTGTAACAAATAATGAGTCGATTGTTAACTACTTTTCATTACATACTTTTTCCACTCCGCCTACTGGTCATTTATTGTTTAATTTGCAGATGTAATCTTTCTCCAGTTATTTCAAATAACAATAATAAACTCCAGTCGTCAGTTGAACAAGCTGGTAAGTTCTCTTGAAAGTTTAGTAGTTTTGATTTTGTCATTTATTCATATTGATTTTCTCACCAGTTGGTTCAGCATCTCACACATATATGTTGTTTGCATAGGTGGCACAGCTGTAGAATGCTCGCCAAACCACACCTCACATGGTCTGGGGTTCGATCCCCGGCCGACGCATATCTTTACCTCACTAAACCGGTAATAAGACTGGCAGAGAGGGAAGGTTGGGCGTGAGGCTGGCTAGCCATCCCACCCCATAAAAGTAAACACCACTGTTATCGAAACTTCAAACCTCTCTAGCTTGAAGCCTTATCCCACCTTATCACTGTACGTTAATCTATTGACAATTGTTTTGTTAGGTTGATGCGTGTGTGTGTGTACAAAAACATGATGGTTAGGAGAATGCTTTGTACGCTTTTGAACCTTTGACAAAAGCACGTGTGTGTGTATGTACTGCGTAGCAGTTGGCTTTTTTTTCTGTATGCTTGTGAAATGTGTCCATTGAAAGTGGATGATATGGATAAACTAACTGGCTGGTGTCTAGCTGTCTTCTGACCAGAGATATTTGCATTCTATCTTCCGTCTTAAGAGGTATAATATAGTGAGTAATACTATTGAAGTTAGGCGTATTGTGTTAATTGTAAGGACAAGAAGTTAGTCAATCGATGAGGTAGATTGTGATAGCTGGAACACGTGTTACGCATTCTGAACCACTCCTCTTCTCATAATCTCCTCCAAGTTACTCTCGCACTGATGACCGACCAACTCACGACTTCCCATTCGGTTTCCACTCAAGTGATGGCCTGGCGTATGATGTCACTCACTTGGTGGTTTGTTTTCTCAGAGTACGACCACCAATTCACCTCCATTACTTCATGCATATTTGTTGCACAATTGGTTCCTGATGGAGTGGTTCGCTCATTGCCAGAGATCCCTCATCGTTGTTGATCTTTTCTGACCAGCCATCTAATCGTGAGTGGTATTGAGCGAAGACACATGTTGATGAAGGTGTGTAGTTCGAAGTGCCCGTGTAACAACAGAAGACAAGGGCCAGGCAACAGATCGTTTTATTATGAAAATCAACACGTATTTATACATATTTCACATACATTATTACAGACAAGCGCAGTCATCTGATTGGTTGTTTATCAGAAGTTAGGCAGACAAACGCAGGCTTCTGATTGGTTGTTTCGGGATTCCTTGACAAATAGAGTTTTTTATCTGCGAATCATATTTTGCCACGCTAACTTTGCTGTGATTGGTTGTTGACTCAGCCTTGTTCATATTTTCTCACGGCCCATATTAACGTAGCTTAGTGTCAACCAATCGGCCAGCAGCCTGCTCTCACCACACTCGTCCCCCCGTCAAATACGTGCGACTGAAGTCGGCTTGATCTACTTGGTGCAGGCGTCATCGTTGGCTTGTCTCGCTGTATCCATTTCTGGAGCTCGCTGACGTTCACGCGCCTCTCATTGTTCGTCATTGCGATTGTGTCCGCGTAATCCCATCTCGAAGTGACCATATGTGGTCCTTCCCACTTTGGAAACTGTTTGCCTGACCCTGTCGGACATTCATCGGTATTTCGGCTCACACTTTCATATGCTGCTTTCACCCGACCTCCCAGCAGCGTCCCAAGTAGCAGCTCCATCGCTGACAGATCTTGAACGCCACTCAACTGCGCAGAAGCCTTGAAGTCCTGCCCGAAGATCCATATGTCTCCATCAAAAACAGCAGTGCATAGGCTTTCCATTTGTCGGTAGGCAGCGACACCAAATGTAACAACAGAAGACAAGGGCCAGGCAACAGATCGTTTTATTATGAAAGTCAACACGTATTTATACATATTTCACATACATTATTACAGACAAGCGCAGTCATCTGATTGGTTGTTTATCAGAAGTTAGGCAGACAAACGCAGGCTTCTGATTGGTTGTTTCGGGATTCCTTGACAAATAGAGTTTTTTATCTGCGAATCATATTTTGCCACGCTAACTTTGCTGTGATTGGTTGTTGACTCAGCCTTGTTCATATTTTCTCACGGCCCATATTAACGTAGCTTAGTGTCAACCAATCGGCCAGCAGCCTGCTCTCACCACACCCGTAGTGACGTTGCGTGGCGCGGCGCTAAGTCTCTGATCTGTATAGTAAGTGGCACTGACTTCACATTCGAGTTGAAAATCCGGATCTTATTTTTCATTTTCACGTGACTGCTGAGGAAAAGAGTTATGCTTAGCAAAACTAAAACCTTGTATCATCAGTTCATGAAGTATTTAACAACTGGTTTGAGTCACCTTGGGGAAATGTAGACTGCCTGGCGGAGGTCCTCAGGATGCTAATATTCTCAAGAAGCTGAGAATATTGTCGATATGGATCAGAATCGTTCTCAATGGCGGTGCAGATGCATTCTTTCTTTGTCATCACCCATAGGCATTAAACACTCCTGTTTTTCCATGCTACTGTTCTGTCTCCGCCACATTTCTGCTTAGTATTGCTCTTTCGAATCTCTCTTTACTCTCTTCTCTTGCCTTGTGTACTATATGGAGGGAGATTGGCAACTCGAACTGCTGTACTTCTGTACAAAATTCTATACTGGAACCAGTCAGTGTAAGTGTGGAGAGGTTTAGTTGCATTATCCTGTCATTTATAACTAGTAAATACTTCTTTTGTAAAATGCTGGTTTTGTTTGTTCTCCTCGATGATTACTCTCCTTTGTCTACATCTTCTAAAAATCGCCCTATCAGATCGCACAAGCAGCCGACATATCAACCTAATGCCGAGCACTTGGGTCGTCCACTCAATCAACGGGAAAGCCCGAATCGGCATGCATAATGACTGATACCCTGTCGCACAAGAGGTGGTCGCTCTTGTGGCCTTCTAAGTGGTCTAGTGGCGTTTGAAACTATGGGCGCTGGGTTTGAACCTCAGTGGGAACGGACTCCTACTACTCACTTACTGGGGAATGCAGGTACATTCAGATGATGGGTAGTCCCATATAGGACGAAATTCGCATTCTGGCTGGATTCCACTACTAATCACACCACCCATCAAATTACTTCAATTTAAACAATGCCTGTGGCATATATTTCTTGCTGATGAGTGCCAACATGCACGAAACCTGGGTCCAGTCTTCCCTACCAACCACCTCTAGCTAAATGAAACCAGTTCACAGTAACTGCACTGAGAGATGGTGCTGAGTCACCTAGCCGGCGGGCGGAGGCGGAGAGCAAACTCTACTTGCTGGTAGAATTCAGTTAACACAAACATTAAGGACTAGACTAATCACTAATCAATGTAAAAATGTTTACTTTCAATACGAAGTTTTCTTCTATTTAAAGTATTTGTTTCCAAGGGATTTGAATGATTGGTTACAGGATTTCATCATGAGCTGACATAGGTTAGAGAACCGTTGGAAAACCACCAGAGAGTACTGGACAGCCAGCTGTTTTGTCAGTCTGGTTTGCAACTCCTCATCAGTACGCACCCACCACCAGAGTTCGAGCCCAGGACCTTCTGGTTACAACGCTAGTGAGCTCGTAGACCATTAAGCCACTGAGACCCGATCCAATGGCTTATGTTTTACTCCAGCGCCGGACTGTGAGAGGCATATGTATAAAACACGATTTAAGAAGGAAATACATATCTTCGGTAAATTCTCATCGGACCCTGTATTTATATAATGATGAAATATTCGCCATAGCGAAACGATAGAGTCGAGAGACTTGGTAAAGGAATGTATATTTCCAGTTTGGTATATATATATATATATATATATATATATATATATATATATATATATATATATTTGTGAGACCTGGCCACTGAGAGTGGAAGACATAAAAAGACTAGCTGCCTTTGATCATAGGTGCCTGCGTTCTATTTCCCGTGTAAAGTGGCATAATAAGGTGAGCAACATGGAGGTTAGGCGTAGAGTTCTAGGTAAACAGGGGAAATCAATCGACGAAGTCGTAAAGCTACATCGACTGAGATGGTTAGGACATGTGTTACGTATGCCAAGTCATCGCCTCCCTCGACGAGCTATGTTAGCGGATATAGGGTCAGGCTGGAAAAAAGCTAGCGGCGGTCAAACAAAAACTTGGCCTCACCAGTCAATGAAATCCACAACAGTTGGTCTTAGCCACGTAGGAAGGTGTAGACTTCCAGGCTGGGGTCCTCGGGACGGCAATAATCTATGCTTGGAAACTATTGGTGACATGGCTCAAAATCGTTCTCAGTGGCGCAGATGCATCCACTCCCTGTGACTTATGATCTTCAATGAAACTGTTTTGTATTTCTTTATTACTCCTTTGTCTCACACCTCTGCTCACTGTTTCTATTATGCTTTTCTTGTACTTTCTTCTCTTGCTTCGCGTGCTACACGGAATGTGGCGACTTGAACTTCCGCACATTTGTGCAAAGTTCTATGTCGAAAACAGACAGACAGACAGACATATATATAGCCAAATTATGTACACCTTATCTTCAAAGTACCATTTGTACAGATCTTCCGTGTTGTGTCTGCTACTTCTGCCATCCCTTCATATTGTGTGTGTTTCTTTGTGTTCCTTCCACGTTGTCTCCCATGTATTTTCGCAAGGCTATATCACTTGCTTTCTCTGATATCAAATCTATCTCTCCCTGCTATTTGATGTTTTTATGTTGTTTAATGCCTGTTTGTGTACTACTGATAAATCTTATGAGTAGCATACGCCACAGAAGGCATTTAAATTAATGTGATTAATACAGTATAGGATCAGAGTTCAGGGATGTGAATTAATGGATAACAATTGAGGTAGTCATAATAGTAATAATAATAATAATCATGATAATAACAAGGATAAATCCATTCAGGTGTGTGTATGTTATATCAGTATTGGTGACTCTATGACTGACTGGTTTCAACGTGGAACTTTGCAACGATGTGCAGATGTGGCCAGTCGCCACATTTCGCTCAGCACACAAAGCCAGAGAAGTGAAAAAAAATGCAAAATAGAGACAGTAAACAGA